CAAATGACTGTGACTACAATATATATTTTAACCTTAATGAAGCTTATCGAATCGCGAGCAGCAGATGCATATATCTCTTAAGGCTTGGGCTTATGGGACTTTAACATGTGAGAATGTGTGAAAATTAAGCAGATTAAATGCATTTGCACTGATGGAAATTATTAAAGAAACGTAAATGGGAATACCTGATTTCCCATTTACGTTTCTTTAATAATTTCCATATTTATATTTAAACTATAAGTATTTTAACTCTTAATGTGAGTTGGTTTCGCCTTTTGAGAATATTATTGAATTTCTTAAACTACAATATAAATTTTGTACATATATCAATATACTCTTATAGGTATATACAACATAAATTGAATGTTTATAGATTCAATAGAGAAATAGACAATTTAGATTGCTTGGAACTTGCAGTGGCCAACTACGAGATACCCTGTATATAAGCTAACATAGCTTACTACCTTCAGCATTTTATATCTACTTTCTAGCTTCTTCTAGCCATACATACAAAAATCATACTCAGTTACACCTGCAGCAGAGCACATATATGGACATATGTATGCATTCACATGCCACGTCTGTCCCTTTCATCAGTAATCAGACCTGAGTAAACACGATTTCAATTCTTATCAAACACAATTCAACTGTAACTATGATTTCATTAGTAGAGCTCGCAATGAATGTATGCGTGTACGTGTATTAATTACAATCAGTGATTGTCTTTTGTCAATTGGCCACACGTTTCAGTTCATAATTTCTGTGCCATTAAAAGAAGTTCACTTAGATGTTCTGCATCTATCTGTTAAACTGATTGAATATTAATGAATATTTAATTAATTTAAAATAATTTTTTTTTTATATTTAAAATACCAACGAAATGAAACATGTGTAAAATATACATTAAGCTAAATGCAAAATACGCTCTATTTATATACTTTTATTTTTAAATTAATTTTTGACTGAATTTCGATATATTTTTTAATTTGGTGAATAAATTTAGCTATTGTTTTTAATCGATTGCTTGGAAACGGAAATAGCTACGGATTATTAAAAACAAACTTAATCTGCACGTGCCATAATTTCAAGTCTCTAAGGCACATAGAGCGGGATTGACTCGATTGCTGATATCAAGCATACTTCAAATTCGCCTACTCATCCTGCCTGTTATATATTTATACTAGAATATTAATATTTACCATGTTTCATGGAATTTCGAGTAAATATACGCTATCTAATAGTTTGTCAGAAACAGAACTTTGTCATTTAAATTGTGCGCATATGACTGAAAAGCGAATCATTTCTATTTTCTTCCTCCTTGTTGTTGTTTTTTTTTTCACACGATTCAATCTCTGTGCGGATTTAATAACATTTTCTGCCACAGTGCACGGAGTGCCGACTCTGTTGGCGGTAATTTGATTGCCGTGAAACAGACACATCCATAACAATACAATAAACAGATACACACACCCACACACATGCGTGTAAGTCCACCCACTGCAAAAAATCTGTTGTTTTGCTTATCGCATGACCATTTCATAAACAGTCGATAAACAAAACAAAAAAAAAAGAAAAAATTGCGAATTGCCCACTCGGCCGTTACCTGTGCTACGAATTTGTTATTTGTTGCAATGGATTGCTGGAATTTTATTTATGACTAAAAATGTCAACGCCAGATGCCCAGTCCGCCGTCCAACCTCCACCCCTGGGCGGGTCGACCTCTGCGGGTGCCATAATAAAAATAACATAATACACTGCACAGGGCTACGGCACCCGTTGGCCTCGCTGCTCCTTCAGGGCCATGGCCTGATTGCTGGCTTGGCTTTCGCTTTATTGTGCAAGGGTCGCGCATTAAACTTACAACAGTTTTATGCGGCTTTTTATTGTTTTTTATGCGCAAAGTAATAGCCCCAACTGTAAACGTTTCATGACTCACTGTCTAGGCAGAAAACTATATAAAAAGCATATCGGTAAATGGGCTCCTGATCGAAATTGAAAATCTAAACGTAAAAGCACGCCAGGCTACGTAAGCGAAATGCCGTCCGCGGCATTTATCGGACCAATCAAATTTATCAGATGTCACGGCAGCTCAACTGAAAATTTATTGTTGCGGGCATATTTTTTGAAGTGCCGTCACGACCTCCATGGCGTGTGGCTCCAGCGGAGAACTGTCGATAAGTTGCGGCAACTGCACTTCACCATTCTTCATTTAACAGCTCATCAAACAAAAGCAATACAAGAAAAGGCTCTGCAGCAAAAAAGAAAAAAATGCCAACTCTCGGCTTCCGACTGTTTGCTTACCGGTTGGCCGTTTCATGTCAGCCATAAATATTATTACAGTTGTATGTTTATGTTTAATACAAACTGTATGTATAAATAACGAAAAATATGCCTCAAATATGCATATACAGATATAAGTACATAGTTAATTCAGACCCAGCTCGCCAGGTGAGTTGCTGTGCTAGACTGAGCTCCAGAAATACTTTTCCATACAGTTTGTCTACTTTGAAATATGTGTATTGCTTTTAAATTCCCTGCAATTCCGAATGGAAAATCAAAAGGCAAAAAAAAAAAAAAATAAAATAAAAAAAAATAAAAAAAAATTTATATTAAAAATTAAATTTGAGATTTTGAGATTTGATATAAAAATAGTAGACAATAAGCTCACAAAGGGGTTGCTGGAGTAAAATATATATATTAAATAATTTTATAGCATACTTTTATGGGCATCATTGAAATGACACTAAAATATTATTGTTGATGTTTTTGTTAATTCTTTTTTATATTTTATTTTATTAAAGCCATACGGGGTAGTTTAGTAACCCCTTTGTGGGTTTTTTTGCTTTTCATTCAACTTGTAAAGCTGCCAATTAGGTAGTAAAAAGCCTGTTTAAATAATATAAAAAAAAAAAAAAAAAAAAAAAAAAAAAAGCTTCATATTGATATCAAATGTAAAAAATAATAAATTTTGATTTGTAATTCCCTGGAATTCTGCATACGAAATTAACATATGTGTATGGATATTGAAGAAGTTATATATTTCTATCGCATAGTTTTGTGAGCAGCATTGAAATGAAGCTTAAAATACTTATTCTGCACTGATAATATTTAATACGCATAGATATAAGATTAAATAAAAATAATTTTAATAATAAAATTAAAAATAATTATAATAACAACAATAATAATAATAATAGTATTCATAATCACAACGTTAGCATACCCTCTAGCCTGTCAGCCCTACACAGTATATTTCCGTGAAAAACTTGGCAATCAGTGGAGCATAATTTGTACAACAATTTCCGTCGTGGCCATCAGCTAAGCAGGGAATTGGATTGGACTGAACGGATGCCAAACTAAAGCTGGTTCCACTACCAAAGCCGTAGCCGGACACACGGATGGGCTACGGGCTTGGAACGGCTCGTTTACTGTCTGCCTGCAAAACTGTGGTCAGAAGTCGCAAGTGCGTTGAACTTCAGCGATGCGTAAATGTTTTCTCTACCCTGGATTCTTTCTCTGTGTGTATGTGTTTGTGTGTGTGGGTTTATTCTCTTTTTGTGATTTTTGGCTGTAGTTTTGCGTTTTGCGCCGTAGGATATTTGGCTTCCCATGGACAGCGCAAGAATAACGTTACTTGGGCTCTGTGGCTGATTAGTACAATTTCAATTTTCGCGCGGACATATTTGTGCATAGCCAGGGGTTCGGTTTATGGTCTTGTCAGACCCCGTACAAAGGTCACTTTTGGTTTGATTGAGCAATATTTTTTTGTTTGCTTGGGGTGATTTTGCAGGAAATTTATGTGTAGCTGGCGTTCCTTCACAATGTTGCCCCGTCATTCATTTTTCAAATATTTCTTCCTCATCTTTTTTGTTTGCCTTTTCTTTTAGTTTTCTTTTTCTCTGTTTCTTTTTTTTTTTTTTTTTATGATGAGCAACCTAACAAGCAGCCATACCACCAGCTGTGTTTCCAATAGCATATTTATAAACGTAAGGTATACGGTGTATGGTATAAATACATTCATATTTATTATGCGAGTCATTTCTTAGTGACAGATTGAACGCTGAGCGTGCCTCTTTCGAAAGCCTAAAGATATATTTTTAAAGGTTATACTCTAAAGGCTACTGATTAGAAAGACTGCGTGGGTTTAGCTTCTATATCACAAGCTGCCGAAAAACCTATTGGTTAGAAATTTGATTATTTAAAGTGGAGCAAAAACTTCTGTTTTTTAGATGTTTTGAACATTTTAAATTTAGTTTATTTATTTATTTATTTATTTATTTTTTATGTTAATCAGACCTTAGAAGTATTCATTTGAATATTTATAATGCCCACGATTGTAAATCTCGGCCATGTATTTAATCGTCTTTTATAATTTCATTTTGAATTATTTATATTTGATTTCCCAGGTGCATTTTATGCTCTTACACACACGTGCTCTTCTTTGAAATCATAAGCTTATTCAATCACTTCGTACAGAAAATATTTTCCTCTCACACTCCCTCTCCCTCTCCCTCTCCATCTTCCTCTTTCTCACGCTCTTCCTGCGGTTTGTGCTTTCATTCAATTTGAGAATGTGATTTTTTTATATAGCGTTTTTTAATCGAAAATAAAATGCAAGCTGTGCGCTTTTCAGCCAGCAGCAGGAAGACGTGCGCCCGCAAGTAAAGTGGAACAAAAATGAAAAACAACTCATAATGTAATGAAATCTTAACGTATTATGGTCTGATTGCTACCTTGGTGCAGTATTGTTTGGATGCCCTATGCTACCTCCCATCTTGTGTGTATTTGTGTTGGTGTTTGCATTTTTGCGGCGAATGCTGCACGTAGCACTCGAAAAGAAAAGCGAAAACGTGAAAAACCAGAAAACACTTTCATCTTCTGGTTGGCCTGGACTGGTCTGGACTAGTCTGGGCTGGGCTGCATCAAAAAGCAATTCGCCCAATTGCATTTGCAGCTTAAATCTGTTGCGGGCTTCACGAATAAGTTAGTGCTGAACTCACCTGTAGTTGGATTGTGTCGATTGAGATTGCGTGGCAGTGTCATGCAGTCGGTAGTGGCGCCACCAGGGCTGGAAGTGAGGAGGACATTGCCGCGGCTGTCCACCAGGGCGGTGCCGCCACCTGCCAAATTTAAGGCGGCTGTGTTGTTGCGTGCATAATTCAGAGCTCCGGAATGGTGCAATTGGCTTGCCTTGGGCAAAGTCATTAGGCCGGGATTGTAGCTAACGCTGCTGCCTGACACAACAACAGAGGCGCCACCACCGACACCGACACCCACCGCTGTGCCAGTCACATTGCTGTTGTTGCCAGCCGCACCGCCAGCACCACCGCCTGAGCCGCTGCCGCGTCCAAAGGTCTGGGTGCCCCCACCACCACCCATGCTCTTGATTTGCATATGCTCGCGCTGTTGTTGCTGTTGCTGCTGCTGATGTTGCTGTTGCTGTTTGGTGCTGGTGCTGTAGGTGACATTGGCCAAGTTATCCGAGGGCTTAGCGCCATCCATGGCCATATTATTCAGCATGCTTCCACTGCCGCCTGCCTGTTGTGCTTGCTGTTGTTGTTGTTGTTGCTGCTGTTGCTGCTGCTGCTGTGTTTGCAAGCCCGTGTTGGCGCATATATGCGGCGGCGGTGGCTTGGATGCCTCGTTGGCTGCTGCGGCGGCAGCGGCGGCTGCCTGCAGCAGCATGGCGGCCTGGCCACTCTGATCCTGGCCATGGCTCTCGACATCCACAATCACATTGGCGCTCTGCGAGTGGCCCATGTGATAGTGGGCATGCTTGATGGGCTCCGGCGGATATGGTACCTGCTGATGCATGCTGCGCTGTTGATACTGCTTCTGCAGCGTCTTCACCTCCAGCCGCGTCTTGTCGCGCTGGTAGTACACGCCCGCAAATATCAGCACATTCAATATGAGCAGGCTGCATCCGATGGCAATCGTTACGCTCAGCGCCGTCGAATACGCCGCATACCCGGCTGCCTCGAAGCCGGATGCCACGGTCTCCGTTGAGGCGTTCGCAAGTGTTGTCGGTGCATATACGCCGCCTCCTGTGCCCGTGTAGTTGCCGCCAATTGGTATACACGTTGTGTACATATTGTTCGGTTCTACGGTCGTAACTATAGTAAGAGAGAGAGACAGAAAGAGAGAGAGAGAGAGAGAGAGAAGTTATGAGTAATTGCGTACCATTGTTGCATATTAATATGTTGCTGTTGTTGCTTCTTGTTTGTCGCATGCAGAAAGACAATTACAAATTAGCCACCCAGTGGCTCGCATCGTATGCGCAATCTAGTTCCCTTGGCTTAATAAGCATATGACGCGTACGCCTGTCTCTATCAAATGTGAATCAAGACGCATTGCACGCATCATGCGCCTCTACAAATTCAAATTTGATGCCTTACAATGTTATTTGGGATTATTAGCCTACAAACCAAAAGCTAGAGCTACATATATATACTAGTTAAATTTTGCTAGCCCCTTGGCTACCTTAAGTTAAATATATGTATATGTTGGTCGACGGCCTGAGTAGTTGCTTAGTAGTCAGTTGGTTAACTTAAGGTTAAAATAAGTAAATAAATAAATATAATATATATTTAAATAAATAAAGAAATAAATAAATAAATAAATAAAGAAATAAATAAATAAATAAAAAAATAATATAAATTATGAATTTCTGTCAAATTTAAAACCATAAAATTAAATTATTTTTATTTTTGTCAATGTTTTAGAATTAGAATATTTAAATAATCTTTCTCATCTCTTAAACCAGAACGACTCACTCTGCGCAGCTTGATTTTCCATCTCGCTCGCACTCATACAGAGTGAGAGTCAAGCTCACTCGTATTCTATACAAAATCACATTCACATACTAATACAGCTCGCTTCACCAGCAGCTCCTGGATATCTAAAGACGAACTTCTTGAAAAATTTTCAGTGTTTGTGGGCTGTTTCCAATTTATTCAAAAATATTTTAGTCCCACTCTTCCTTGATTAAAAAATTTTTAATTAAATTAAAGCTCGCTTTCAATCAAGGCACTATTCTTTATTCTGTTACTCAAAAAATACTAAGAAAAAATTTCGATTTTTGTTAAGGCATATTTGAATATTCACACGTATATTTTTCCATCAGATATCTGCAGCAACATCAAACTATTTTTCGTCAAGTAAATATTTTATTTCCAGTTTTCTTGTATTCCGAAAAAACTCTTAGATCTTCATCAGCTGGCAATACAGTCGTATTTCTTTTATGTCAGGCTGGCAGGTAAGCTTTAAATTGAAATGCAAACACCTGCGAAAAAGCGATGTGCTTCACTGCTTTTGAAGTTCACTTCCTTCAAAATGTATTTCACAATGTGCTCGAGTCTTCGAGTATTGTTTTGTTATTGTTGTCGCTTTGTTTCTTGTTATTTTCCTCTTGCTTTGTGTCTGACTGTCTCGTTGATGTGCCTCAAGTGCTATCTACACTTGGCATTGTTTTAAGCCAAGACTATATACACTCTCTGATGCATGCGCCTGTCTACGTGTGTGTGTGTGTGTGTATTGAGTGTCGATGTCGTCTGTCTCAAAAGTTTTGCCTTTCAATTTTCTGCATATCAAACAATTCGGCAAAGTTCTGCACGAGATTAAAGACTTGGGCACGTATTTGCATAAATATTTAGACAATAAAACAAAGTGCCATAATAAGCATTCTCATATTGTTGTCCTCTTTTTCAATATTTCGTGAGATTCTTCACAGCTGCCAAGTGGCAACTGGCTGTCGAGAGGTTTTCAATTTGCCTTTTACAATGCCATTCAATTTGGCAAGTTTTTGTTGTCGACTCTTCGCCAAATCAACTAATCCGATTTTCGAATCAATCAACAAAAGTCAGTATCTGTGCTATGGGAACATTATAAAGTTTATTTATTTTTCACACCTTTTCTTGACTCACTCATATTTTTGTTATTAATAATTGAAATCATTGAAGTTGTATTTCCAGTAATTCAATTTCACCCGAAGGTGAATAAGCAAGTCGTTTACTATTTATAGCCTGACATTTGCCCCTAGGGCATTGAGTATTTACAATTTATGATTAGGTCATTCTTGGAATATAAAATTGAATCATGAAATTCATGAAGAACATAAAAAAGCGTACACAGCCGGGCTGGTTGGCCGATTTTAGGGAAAAATAGCTAAGAAACAGCTAGGTATTTTTGGCTACAGCTCATTTAAAGAAATTTTGTTCATTATTTATTATTTTTATTTATCTTAACTGGCATATAAATAATGCTCAGTACAGCTCAGTACAGTTATTTGAACTGCAATAATTCTTAATTAGTTCTATAAGTATATATTATATAAATAAATGCTATTTATATATGTCATATATAGTAATTTTCTTATTTTTCCCAACAGTATTATATATAAATTATTTTTATATTTGTCATATATAGTAATTATCTTATTTTTCCCAAAGGTATTTCTAACCCTAACTTGTCTATGCACAGCGTCAATGGCCATTTGTGGACCCTCAACCTGTCACTTGACAGACTTAAGGAGCAAACACTTTCGGCCCCAGCATCAGTTCGTTTGCAGTTTCATGGCTAAATGGCCTAATCAGATAGCTTGCGACCGCAGTTAGAAACACATACATAAAAGAAGAAAAAGTCGAGCTATCGTAATTTGTTAGAGCATTTCTAAACGGACCTTAACTAAGCTTTTTATCAAAACGCTCCATTTTGCATTTATTTTCAAGTTGAAATACGCTATTTTTGCCATGGGTAAATGTTTTATTTTAATTCCTTTTAATTTTAATTTTTATTTTAATTTTAGCTTTCGTTTTATGGCAAGCACCGAGCGCTTGAGTTAAAGTCACAGCACAGAGGACAACAACCACCGCCCGCCTGCTCTCTCAAGGACCCTAGATAATTATGTACGAGGACACACGGCCGGCGTAGCTTGAGTCAGATAACTAAAAGCCCGAAGCCCCAAACAGAGATTGCCTTGGCCTGGTGCAGAAACAGAACCAGTGCCAGAGCCAGAGCCAGTGCCTAATGCCTAATGTGCCTTTAATTAGTGGAATGACAAAAAACCAACCATAAAATCAACTTAGGCTGCACGTGGCCCTCCCGTTGCTGCCCCAGCCCTGGCAAGTGAAATGCTCGGCATGCAAAATGTTCGCAGTGCTGCGTAGCCTCAATTAGATGACCTTGCTTCAATTAAATATCTGCCCGGGCAGCCGAGGCGAGCGACTGTCGTTCCCCCTGCGAAAGGGGGGGAAATATCTAAACATTTAAGAAGCGATTACCTCAAGAAACGAGCAACCAGCTCCGAGGCGTTATTTCAATTTGTGTCGACTTAATCTAGCTTAGAGTTTGACATTTCATCACCGAACGCCACCTGAAAGTTGGCTAAGCCTTGAACTATCAGCTCGGGCCGTATGCAAATGTCAAACTCAACAACCAGCGGCATTTCGTGTGTTTTTCTTGCTTTTTCCGGCTTAGCTGCTCTTGGGCACTACAAACTTTTTGTGATATTCTGCTGCTATCTTATATATTTTCATTTTCTCAAAGTTTAGATAGTAGATTAAAAGGAAGTAGTTTCAAGTATGAGAATACATATTTAAATGCAATCTTAAATCAATCAATATAACGGGCACTAGAAATAGGCTTAGGGAAATCTTTTCGTTTCTTATTCTATGCAAGCACATTTCAAGTACAAGTTGTCGATTTTAAGCTGCAATAGAAAACATTCTTTTACAATGGATTTTCCTGAAAATCCATCACACATGCGTAGAAATGTGTGCGTCTATCTGAAGGCACGTAATGCACAATTGAAAGAGATTATTTTTTAAGACATGCTCACGTGAACAACTTGAATAGCACAAAGATAACAATGACAAAGACAACAATGTTCCAAGTAGAAAACTAGGCAAAGTGTTTAAGCGTGCAAGGCTCGACTAGCAGATACTCTATAGTCAACGATGAGCTGTCATTGAACGAAAATGAAATAATGAAATCATAAAGTGAATATCTTGAAGTTTTGCAAGTAATTTATTAAAGCTAATCCATTATCCTTATAAATCCTGTGAAAGAAGAAACTTCTCTTCTTCTATAATAAATTGGATTGACGTCAAGAAAGTCAGAGTTTTATGACTTATCGTTGCCATTATTAAGCTAGAAAGATTTTGCGTGCAGCTTTAAGTCAATTTAAACATATTTTAGGCACAACACATTTACTTAATTGATTGTATTGTATTTTATTTTTTATCGACAGCAAATCTTTATCCGCTATCCCCCAAAATTCTATCTATGATAGAGTAATTCAAAGCTAATTTTTAAGAGCTGTTGACGCACGATCACTTGCACGAATCGAGCTATGCAGAGTTTCTGATTTCTTAGAGTTATGAGCGCTGGCTTAGCACGATCGCGCCGCTCCGCCTAGAGAGCCCACAAGAATGCGAAGATACGAGAGAACAACGAGACTGCAAACTCTTTGCAAATATAAAATCTTTTACAAGACCCACTGCTCTTAATCAGAATATTCAATAACAAATTAATCATATTCATTTTCAATGTTACAGTCGCAAATGTTTGCTACCTTCATAGGGTGTACAGCATCCCATGTGCTTATCGCAAAACTTTTTTTATGGCCCATACTAAAAGTGGGAGGAGAAAAATGTGCAGCTCGACAGTTCAACACATTTTTCATGCTTTTGCCACCGACTTCAACTTCAGCTGTTGAACTGTTTTTGCAGTCTTTCGTTTTGTTTACAGAGAGTTTTCTTTGTGGATATTTCGGTCTTTAGTTGCATGTTGGCTGCGCGTGTTTTTATTTTCATTTCGTTTTTGCATTTTCGCATCAACTTTAGCTCGCTTGCGTTTGTCTCTGGGCCAAAGTCACGATGCTGAGGTGCCAACAACAGCAACAGCAACAACAACAACAACAACAGCAACGATAACGGCAGAGACAGTGACAAACCAAGGCGCACAGTTGGCACAGTCAGCGTAAATGAAAACCATATCATAGTGTGTCGCCATGATACTGTTGCTATTGCTATCTCTCTCTGTCTCTCTTTGCCTCTGCCTCTGTCTCTTTCACTGCCGTGTTCTGTGGCCTAGCCTGGCTTTTAGCCCGGCCGCCAGGCGCTGCGCCCTGCACTGTCAAGCTGACAGCTGTTTGTCGCATTTCAGGCATTTCAGCCATTTTATCATCTTTTGCTGCTGCGTTCGCAAAGAGTTTGCCTCAACCCTCTCAATGCTTTTTCGTGAGTTTACTTTGATGGGGCGGATTTAGTTTTGCAGCCTTTCCTCCTCTCGCACTAATTGAAAAGAACATTTTGTGTATTCAGACTGCCGGAACACCCTACTCGCACCCTCCTCGCACTCACCCAACCACAAGTCCTTTTGGGCGCGCCTCTGCTGTTTGTTCTCTCCAGATATTTTGTCTCTATGCCGATGTGGTTGCTGCTTTGCCTTTAAGATACAATCATAAGTTTTTCCGTTTAGCTCAAATGTAAGTCAGGCCTTGAACCCAGCTCGTTTCTTATTTAGAAAGACCTTTAAACTCAGATTTCTTGATTGGCATTCTAAAACATGTACATTATGAAAGTACATCAGATCTTCTATCGTTCTAGTTGGATTTGCAATGAAGAAGCAATTATCTATTTTGTTTGACTATTGCAACTTTGATTGCCATATTTTGTGGGACGTCAAAGAACGCTGGCACTTCCTAAGGTACCCGCAAGTAATTTGTACAGCAGCTAAGCCAACACTCCGATAACTTTTAATTTGCACAACTTGATGGCAACTGAGCCCCAGTGGAAACTCACACAGCTGCCACGCCTGAGGCAGCGGCACTGTCAACTAATGCATATTGCATTAACCGACTTAAGCGCACAGCGAGTAGCAAGAATTTCGCTTGAAATTGACTGTCTTTAGTTTTAACTTTGTGATGGGCGAGACGGGCGGAGCGGAAGCCGCTGCTTGTTTGAGTTGCATTCGACTTGCAGCGCTGAGCAGCAGAGCTTAACTCGAGCTGCTGTGTGGACAGCGAGCGTATGAAAAACGCAAGGACCATCAACAAAGTTTGCTGTTAATTTAGGGTAAGTGTTGAATTAGTTTCCCAGCGAGTTTTAAATAAACTGGTCTAATGAGTTTTTATACCCTGAACCCATCGAATTGGGTTAACATAGAGCGTGATAGTTACTAGAGTAAAATTATTGAAAATTCTTATTTACGTCCAAGTTTGGTTAACTTGTCTAACAGTTGGCATCGACGTTTAGGGTATCTTTTAGTTGAGCATTTTTCAATAGCCCAGCTGGGGCGCAAAGTAAATAGAAATAATGCTTAAGTAGTTTGCGTTTGCAGCAGACGCGTCTTAAGATCAACACAAAGGACAAACCCCAAAAGCAATGTAAGCCAGCAAATTGTTGAGCCTTTGTCGAGTGCGATTCGCACAATGGACCACATGAGCGTTGGCAGAGAGAGAGAGAGAGAGGGAGAGAAAAAACGATACTCGGCTACATTGTAGACAGTGGTAGCATAAACAGAGAGCAGCTCGAGCAGTCACATACTTAATACAGATTACAGTTGAGTGCATTTTCAAAAGTCAGCACTCGACACAATATAAATTCAAAAGCCAAAAGCAGCCCGCCCGGACGCAATTTCAATAAGCAATGGCACAGCTGGGGGTCGAGAGCCGGGTCAGTTGGTCACACAAACGGAAACGTCATGGCTGAGGCTCACATATACAAAATGCCAACTTTGCAATTTGCAATTTAACTTGAGGGACCACAAGCTGAAGTAAACACAGCCTCACTTGTCCCAGCCGCTCTTCAAGTAAACAACTTTACACACACTCCACACCCCACACACCTAGCCCCAACTCCACACAGCTAAAGTGTTGATTTTGAACGCACTTAAGTTGGGGGGGGGTGCCCGAAAAAGAAAATATCAAGCATTTTGGGCAAAGATTGTCCCCTGAATTTCGCATTTGACATAACGTGCACAGCCCTTCGCCAGGTCTCACATGGCGTATGCGTAATATTTGATTTGTTTCCCTTACTAGTTAGTTATTAAGCTGTCACATGTGCGCACAGCTCAGACATTATCATTTGATTTACGCAAAGGCTACAGCTAAAGCTCAAGCAGAGGGCAATATTTCCAAAAACAAATTTCATGGGAAAGGAAAAGCAATATCCGCTAGTCACAGATGATTTAAAATGTAAAATCTTTAAGAGTTTAGTTTTTGATAAATCCCCTACTCAGTTGCCAAATCGATGTCTATTACTAGAAAGTAATTTTAGATACCAGAATATGACAATTATTGATAATAATATTGTCAATCTATTTTTGATAACCCAATTCTCCGCTGTCATAAAGAGGAAGTGTGATTTGTCTAATGGTTTACCTATTGACTCCTATGGGACTTTCAAAAAATTGATTATGTAATATGTATTACTCATAATTATCGCCTTTCATCATACTCTTATTTAGTTTAGTTATTTTCCATTAATGTATATATAATCTCCATAATAAATATATATATATATATATATTTTTTTTTAATTATTTTAAAATATTAAATTGCTAAATGCGGAACATCTTAGCGTAAATTAATATTTACTCTAGAATGTGCAACATTTGGTAATATGATAGAGAGAGTAAGATAGAGATTACTTCATCTCTCAGTTGAATTTAATGTCGAAATTGAACAACAGTGAGTTGTATGGATCATATTTCAATTATTCCACGTCGATTCAGCTAATTTAATTTAAGCTGTGTTGGCTATGTCAGGTAGCAAACTCTGAAACACATATATTGAAACATCAACTGACTTCAGGTCCGATGCACAATTGTATCGCTACGGCTTCAGGCGCATTGCTTTGTGTACCTTTGTCAAATTTACTTATTAAATGCCAACTACAGCAAACACAAGGCAATCCGCATGAGTTGAGTGGGGCGAGTTATGATCAATTTGGAAATACCCTGCGGGCAAATTATTTCAACTAAAATGACAAGTAAATAGATTGCATACAAATTTGTGACTTGACAATGCCTGCAGCAAGGGTTAGTAACTCCCGCTATCTATGGCAATGTAAATTCAATTTAGATGTTTTAGATTTAGGTGGGCTGCTTCCGCCTCCGGGCACAAGGTTTCACATGCCAGACATGCCTTGAATATAATTCGCTGATTTCTTTTTGCGCCTGAGAGCGGATGACAAGCCCAGCATTCTGCTTAATGCTCAACGCTGTCTGACTGATTGTCAGAGGCGCAGCAGTGATAACCCATACGACCGTTTGGCATTCTGCTTGCCACTGACAATTACAAAAGACGGCTGTTACCCAGCAGATGTCATGGTTGAGTCAGTTGTTACTTACCCCCCAATATGCCATTCAGATAGGTCGAGCCATTTAGGCCGCGTCCCTTCTTCATCATCAATTGCTCATCGATAAGCAGCAGGCGCGACGAGGAGGACGATGAGGAGCCAGATGAAGACGATGATGTTGCTGTGCCTGCTGAGAGACCAAATGGATCTGGCTTAACGGGTCCCTCGTACAATTCCATATCGTCGTGATTGCGAAACAGATTGTGCCGGGCTATCACATCCTCCATGCCAGCACGATGTAGTTCGGGTATCAGGCGCAGCCAAATCGAGAGTTGGTGAGCCCGAAAGTGATTCTTAATGCGCGGCTTCATGCCTTCAAGATGGCCACGATACGAGGGCACCAAAATAGAAGAGCAAACGGGAAACAAAAGCGTTAATATACACAATTTTATTTCTATGTCATGGGCGGCATTCATGCATACAAATTTCAACCGGTGTTAACTACGTCGCCTACCCCACCACCCCCCACACCCCACACCCCACACCCCTCTCGTCGACCAGCAACTGTTGCTGTTCTGTTTGTTATTGAGGGGCACTTTCAAGACATTTGCATGCTACTAGCTGAGCTGAGCCACTTCGCAATTGAGGACACCTCTCATCCGCATTCACCTGCTTGTCTAGTTGGATGTCTTGTTTATTTAACTGACTGAGCTGCTTAATTTTTGATGCCGTCAGTTGGGTCACACGCTGCCGGTCTTAGCCCATTCGCTTTTCTATTTTGTTTTTATGTAGCCTCCTCTACGGCTTCCGTGTCAGTTTGTTTATAAAGCAATCAAATGATATGAAATACTTATGGGGCGTTGCCTATGTACAGGGCTTAGCTCTTTGATAAAACTACTTAAAAGTCGCATATACTACGGGATGAACTATAACATTTTAAGAGACTCTCAATGTATCAGCGTTTGGCCTTTAATTTATATTTTATTTAAGCGACATTAATATTTAATGGTCGCAGCCAAACATAAGTGCGAGGATGAATAAATAAATATATGTTATATATCATTTAAATGTATTGAAAGGATATTCGTGCCACTTTGCATATAAAAAGGAAGAGGATAAGAAGCATACGAAATCTGTGCAAACGATTCGCTCCACTGCAATTGACATGTCGTCTATAGAAGTCGCTGAATAAATATGGGTGATGCATAATTTACGCAACAGAACTTTCAACTTTGACTTCAATGGAATGTATGTGTGTGTGTGTGTGTGAGTGGGTGTGTAGGTGTATGCGCGTGTGCTAACATTTGTGCGCGTGCAGCTGTTCGCTGTGTATTCGCATAATTCGATTTCGATTTCAGGTTTTCAGCATTTCAAATCAAAATTCACAATAATGCGTGGTCTTTGACAAACCTCGTGCAACTACATCCATTGTGCGTTCAAAACAAATTCCAGCATTGTGCGTGGGCGTGCGGTGGGCGTAGGTGGGCGATATGGGTGAGATGGCTTGAGATGTCGTTTCTGGTCTTGCGTTTTCAATTAAAATCAAACAGAAATCGAGTTATATTTTTAAGGGCGCAGCGGGGCGTGTGCGTGCATGTATTTGCCAACTACACTTAAGTGGATTTCTGTGACATGGATGTGGACTCGATATGAAGTAAAATACACGTGTTGGCCTCTGCAACTGATTTCCATATACATTTTATCGAAGCCTTATGAAAGAAGGAACTTTTTTGTTCTCTTTTCCGGCAGATACACAGATACCATCTGGATAAAGGGCTTTCAAATTTCATTAGAATTGCTGTAATATTTTGCTGTATTGAATTTGAATGGCTGTCTGTCTCGGCTGTTGGTGGTGATAGACACACACGACGTGTGACAAATGTGAAGTTAATAACATTTGCGCACATTTAATATGACGCGATGGCAACATTCTTAAGGGCACAGACAGCTTTATATGCCCGACGTTGTCGGATACTCTACAAAAGGAACTAGTGGCATATCAGCAGTGTAGAAAATCTAGTTTGATTTAAAAAAAAATATTGTAAAAATTTTAATTCAATAATATTTTTAAATGTCAAATTTCTCTAAATTGAATACAGTCGAAGTCCAATAATTCGAAATGGCAAGCGGATCAGTTTTTGATTTACATAGAAATTTAAATTATCGAGAATTATTGCGAACGATTTTCTTTCAGGGGGAACTTTTTTTTCGATTAATCGCGATTTTTTATTTAGCTGGGCTCGAATTATCGAGACTCGACTGTATACATAATTTGTATAATCCATTTAGAGCATATTTCAGTCGACTTGCATTGCCCGTTGCTCTCATTTGCTGTGATAGCAGGTGCCCTGCTTGTGTTATCTTCAGCAGGTAACATTCAACTGCCACTCGGATATGGCCTTGTTTAGCCGTACATTGTACGCCGTGCACCGTACGCCGTCTCGCACAATTGTAATGCTGTAATTTTTTGCGCTCCCACTTGACACCACTTCCACCATCCACTTCGCAGCAGACCCGCCCGCCGCCCGCCGCCTGTTCGCCTGTATGAGCTTTATTTTTTGGCTGCTTTAAAATTTAAATTAAATTTGATTCGCATTTGCGAAACGAACATTTTAAAGTATCTTGCAATTTGTTGCTTTTATCTGGCCATTCCAAGGATTCCATGTTACCGTGTTAATAATTTTTTATGGCACTCATACATTGCGTGTCATTTGCGTCAATTTTATACCCTATCAGCATAAGGCAGCCATAAAGGGCATATGAACTAATTTGAAAATGCAAACAATGCCTTTCTGCTTATCGTCAATGTCAAATTTGTCATTATTTAAGGATATTTGATATATGTATAGGATCTGTGATCTATCTATTCATATTAAATTAAAGATTCAAAATTACTTTAGCTCCCAGCATAGTCTTTCACAAATACTAATCCCATTACTACACAATATTAAATATATTTTATTATATATTAATATGATATACGATATTGCATTTTTTTTTTAAATAAGTTGAACAAATTTATAATTTTTTTTATTAAATATTTATATATACAAATAATAAATAAAAACAAGTAATACATTAAAAATATATATAAAAATATTTTTAACAAAATCATAAATAAAGTAAAATAAATCGCTAATAATCATAATCAACAGTAATTTGTACACATCTAATCTATAATTTGTAACCTATGAAAATTGCCTCTTAATAGGCAACGTTTGTTATTTTCTCACCAATTTCCAAATACTTTTGATGCAATGGATCATAATTCTCCCAAGTGATGCTGCGAAAGCGATTGCGTTCCTTTGAGACGGGCAGCACAGAGTCCTGGCGATGATGTTCGTTCGGGTTGCTAAAATCGGAAGAGAAGGGGAAAGGGAGAAGGAAGCGAAATATGCACACTTTAGTTGAGTATTTCAGAGAATATTCGTTGCCCGCTCCGGGCATTTTGTTGTCTAAGGGAAAAGTCTTCAAGTTAGGTTTGTTCGCTGCATAGGTAGTCAGGCAGCAGGTGCCGGAAAACTGCTGCTCAGCTGTCCATGGAAGCACTTTCCTTTACTTTACTTTCCTTTCGCACACTGACAATCAGTACTAAGTGATGCACACGAACGAGAAGTGTTTAGAATAGCAGAAGCACTGTCGCTTGGATGACTTGAATTACGGTAAGTGGCTAAGCACTTGGATGCTGTGTGATGGGGGCGGGGGAATCGGACAGGCAACGGGCCAATGCAACTACTTAGCTTACCCGGTGCGCGCAAAATTCGTCCAGTATATCATGACGGCCTCTGACAGCGCCGTCTCCGACTTGGTGTAGTTTTGCGGAAAGTGGCTGAAGCCATCGACGAGCGGTGCGCCAAATATGTAAGGCAAGTCCTCGCCATGCACCGTGCCCATGCGCTGGGGATAGTCCCCATCCTTGGTCTGATAGTCGAACACATAGAAGTAGCAGCGACCCGCGGGCTGCGTAGACGCCGCCAAGGTCGAGGCGGCGGCACTCGCCGCTCCACTGGGCGTCGCCGAGCTCACCGGCGGCGGCGAATTGGCCGCCAATATGTCCCCAGTGCGCACTATGGGCGCCACGAACTGGGCATCGGATAACGCGGCGACAGCCGTATCGCGCGTGTTAATCGGATGCTGTGAAGTGCGATCCCAGTCCGTGTACTCGTTGACAATCTGAGAAGCAGAGACGAAATTGATTAATTCACAATAATAATGCTGCCTATTGAACTATTGATGTCAGTTATTTAAGCCACTCAATCACCATTTGCCTTTACGCTGGTTATTTTCTCATTTTCCTTAGAAACAATTTATTTCTGATATGCAATTGTCTTCCAACATATCCATGAGTATCTCGATATATAGTATTAAAATTGATTATAAAGATTATTGCCTACAAAGAGGAGCCATGATGTATTGATGTCTGACACTTGAAAAGTTTTGTCTCCGGTGCAGTTTTATAAACATTTCGTTCTGGTTGCCTACTCAGCCCCCAAAATCTTATGCCACATCCGAGCGCGTCCCAGTTTGAGTAGATCTGCAAACTATGTTGGCGTAATGCATGCACAATTCTGCTTGTACAGCAAGTCAAATCCTGGCAGGATTACAGCCGGATTTTTGCTGCTGCTGTTGTGTTTTGTTTTCTGTGGCTATTATTATTTTTGCCACGATGTGTGCGGCTTTTAAAAGGGATCACACAATGCATATGCGAAATCGATGTCATGTATAATTTAAGGCTCGAATTGACACAACTATTTGGTTTTTTGTTTTGTTTTTTGCATTAGTTTATATTCTAAATTCACATATAAATGGAAAAATACATATATAGAAAACAAATAATGAATGTACATCAAATATTTGTTTAAGTTTCAGTTTGCTTCTTATTTGATGTATAAATTGTTTCATTATTAAAGTAAATTAATTTTAACTGAATTTAAAGTATTTTTGAATATCGAAAGATACAAAGTAATGTAATCAGTCAGCAAATTAACAAATGATAAAATATTCTTTAGAATTTGCCTAAAATATTCCTTATGCAAATTCATCTACTCAGAGTGTAGTCATCATATACATATTAAGAGTTCCATATATGTATATAATTCGGAGAGTTTTGCATTCACATATTCTGCCTACGAATTGCTGTTAATTCATCTCGCTGTCAAATACTTATATATATAGAGCAGAGAATTTATCATTTCTGCAGATTCATTTCTTAACCCTCGGAGCGAAGTGCTTGACGTGGTATTTACATGAATGCTATATATGCCATTACTGAATGCATTATAAACCTCATCGCTGAATTGCAGCGAGCTTGACATTTGCCGGCGGCAGCGCACGGGTATAAAATGAAGTAAAATAAATACGAATGGTGTGTATGGTGTGTGCTATAATCGTGATATATGCGTTGGCAATTTACGGCTCCTTGATGTATGCATGTGTGTCTGTGTGGGCTTTAAGTGCAGGCACACATACAGAGAGGCACACACACACACATATACAGAGAGACACGAATACTTGGTTTTAATATGGCAAATGGTGACAACGTCGACTGGCGTTGATGAGGATGAGGATGAGGATGAGGAGGGATACGACTGATGTTGTTGTTGTTGGATGCTGCTGTAACTGCTTTCACTGATGCTGCTTCTGCTGCTGTTGCTGCTGCTGCTGCTGTTGCTGCTGCTACCGTGATTTGGGTTAAGTGTAGTCTGTATGCTTTTAAGTAGGTGTGTGTGGCACATATATAGATATACATATATACATCTACATACAGATACATGGCTATGTACGAATGCAAGCAACAGTGTCCTTGCCAATGCTTACACAAATACACACACACCCCCACCCACACACTCACACACCCCCACCCACACACATACAAAGTTATAACAGCCTTACACATTTGCCAAATAAAGCGTGTTAATGTTTTGGCTGCAATGGCGTGTTAACTGCCTTCCATTTCGCTCGCTTGCGCATTACAAAACAAGAAATGAAAAAAAAAAAAAAAACAGAAGGAAGAAAAAAACAAAAGCTCATATAAAATAAAAACAAACGAGATATGCAAAAAGAAATAACAACAAAACACAAAATAGAATAATATGTTGAAAAGCTGCAGTAACACAAAGTAAAATTCAGCCTCCATTTGTGTTTATTTGCTGTTGCGAATGTTACTCATACGCACTGTGTTACGTACGGGCACTTATAATTACAGTAACATCGCGCAAGCGAACATTTCAATAGACTTTTTTTTTTTATTTGCCTCACTTATGCCCATTTTTTGTTCTTCTTTTTTTTTCGCTGTTGCTGCTTTTTATGGAAAATGTGTTTATATCGTGAGTTTTTCACGCTAGTTGAAGGTTGACCATAGAACGATACCTTCATTTAAATAAAATGGGTGATTGTGTAATGCAAATGTTGACCTTTATATATATATGTTTCTCTCGTACATGAGTGTATTGGTAATTTTAACTAGTCGAATATTATCGCAGACTTTTTAAATCCTTCCTTCCCGCCTCACTCCTCATGCTCTGAGACAACATTTTGTATAAGTTGCGATCTAAAGTCTGCAAAGTTTTTGGTGAAATAGGAAAAAAGAAGTAAGTCCAGCAAATAAACAGAAAAGTCGGCAACAATCCCAAATGGAAAGAGCCACGTAGTAAATAAGTAGTCTGGAGATAAGGTGCACCACTAACTGATTCCAAAAAGCGCCTGTCGAGCGAGCCCGAACAGGGAAACCCACTGGGAAGCTGCAATCTGATTACAAGATTTATGTGACGGACTGCAAGCCGCAGACCTCGAGCCGGAGCCGGAGCCGGAGTCGGAGCCACAGCCGGTTCCGGTCCGGTCCGGTCTGGCAGTTTTTGGCAAGGCAAATGGTGAAGTTAGCTGAGAATATTTATAGGCAGAGCGTACTTACCGTATAGAATATCTCATTGAGATGGTAGTTGTAAGCGTTGCGCACATAAGTGCGTATAATTTTATCTCGTCTCTCGCCCTCGAAGCCATTCTGTATGTCGTGAGCGCTGAAGCGCCAAATGGACTCGCCCGTAACAACGCCGAAGAGCACATCATAATGGCCACCAATGTTGGCCGTGGCCGCGCCTCCTCCAAAGTAGCCAGAGCCACCGCTGAAAGCGGAGCCACCAGTGCCGGATCCGCCGCCATTGCCACCGGCTGACTGGGCGCCAGCATCGCCTGCAGAGCGCTTCGAGTTGCGCGTCATTAAATCATCAATATCGAGATTGGAATGTCCGGGTCGTATGACAACGCCATCAACCTAAATTAAAATTGGGACCCAGAGGGAAATAGATGAAAAAAAAGGCGAAAACAAATGAGAAAACCAACAGAAAACAAAAATGGGCAGAAAAGAGAGCATTCAATTGGTAAACCTTTCAGAAGCAGCCCAAAGCAAGTGAAGTAAGTAATAAAGTCCATTTAGGCGAACAGATGATCGAAATCAGCGTGAAAAAATTTCAACTTAACACACACAAAATAGCACAAAGGACAGAACAACGAAGCTACTCGAGCAACTGACGCAGAAGTACTGCAGCATCAGGCCTCTGACCGAATAGGCAATAGGGATACGGCATGGGATAATAGAAAGTCATATCAACTCGATTCTTTTGTGAGCGCTTCAATTGAGGATAAGCTTACATTGTATTGCTTAGGGCTGCTCGAAAAGTTTCTAAAACACATTTTTTTCTCTTTTCATATGTTTGAAAAAAAAAAAAAAAAAAAAAAAACAATAATAAAAATAATAAGAAAAATATTTTTTTTTTTTAAGGAAATGAAGAAGTCTCTTACTTTTTCTTGTAAAAAAAAAAATCATGTTTTTTTTTTCAATTTAAATAAAAACTAAAAAAGTCCATTTGCTTCCAATATAAAAGTAATAATCCTTTAAAGTAATCTCTTTTTTGTTTGTAAATCAATTTTTTTCTCTTTACATAAATATATAAAAATAAAAATAAAAATAAATAAATAAATGCTACAAGATTTTATTAAAATTATTTTTTTTTTTTAAAGTTCTTACAGAATTATTCAATAAATAATAATCTATTTTTTAAAGAATAAAAATAGATATTTTCTATTAAGAAATTAATGATTTTTCTTTTCATTTATATCAAAATTAAATAAATCAATTCGCTGCCAAACTTGTCGCCAATAAAAGTCTGAATGGATGAACTTACGGATGGGCCAAACGATGTTAGGAAGTTGGGTGCCTGTATATCGGCGGCATATAAGTCCTCCAGTGGCACATCCCGAAGGCAGTCGACAATTTGCTCGTGATGCCTGTTCAAGTCCTCGGGAATGGTGCAGTTAACCTCCTTAGCCAGCTTAATGGCGAACAGGACTGGATCCTCGACGAGAGCCCACGATGAGTACGCCGATCCAGACATCAGTATGGCGCGATGAAAGAGTCCGCGCACCATTGTGGGCGAGGTCATCAGATAATTGATGCAGGCGGCGCCCGTTCCGTGGCCTGCTAGGGTAACAACGTTGGGATCGCCGCCAAACTTTTGTATATTCTGCTGAATCCAATGGAGCGCTGCCATCTGGTCCATGAGCCCATAATTAGCAACACGTGCATGAACATGCGGACTGGGATTCGCATTGAGAAAGCCTGTCAGACGACGATGACCAGGGAATTGTATTGGGGCCACAGACAGATGAATTGCAATATGCTTACCCAGTATTCCGAGTCGGTAATTAAGCGTCACGACCACCACTTCGCCATAGCTGGCCAGCACGCTGCCATCGTAGGGATTCCCACTGCTCCACTCGAATGACTCGCCGTGTATGAATACAATTACGGGCAGCTTCTTCTCATTGGCGCCAGCTGCTGAAACAAAGGCACCAAAATGACACAGCGGCAGCAAAAGCAAATTTTATGTAATAAAACAGGCCGTTTTTACGTATTAGCGATTAAGCATAAATCCTCTTTATGAATAAAAAAAAAAAATAAATAAAAGTATGATTATAAATTCAGTTCACCTAAACCAAATTATTTGAATAACTTTTCAAACTTTATGTTAACAACTGCACTTCAATAAAAAAAAAAAAAAAAAAAAAAAAAAAACAACTGTAGTATTATTATTATTTATTCGCGCACAATATATTTTAGACAGATATTATGAGGGTCCGCTATTGGTAAAATAGGAGTATCATAACTTGGAAATCGTGGAGCCTTTTATATAACTTACTTCGATGTATGGTATATTTGAGTTTTTAGCTTTTTAATTTATGGAATAGATTCGGTGTTGCTTAATCGAAATAATTATAATACTACGAAATATATATAAATAAAATAAACATATATATGTACATTAAGGAAAAAGAACAAAGCTGCAAATTTGAATCACAAATTCCAATTTGATTTTGTACTGCTCAAAATAATCAGCTGCATATTTAGTTTAAAATGTGTTCAGAAAATACGAGCCATTTTTATTTGTATAAAATGATTCACATCATTAATTTTTACTATACATTAGTCGAGTTCCTATAATTCGAAATCGCATGCATTTTTCGATTTATCGCAATTTTGAAATTATTGAGACTTGACTGTTATATTATAAAATTGGTGCATCTACATTAGAGACTTACCATTAACAGGCGAAAATATATTGAGGTATAGGCAATCTTCGGATTGATTTTCTAAAAATGGCAGCAACCTTTTCAGGTACTCCAGGCGTCCCTTTGGCATCTTCTCCAAGGCGGCGGTCTCATTTTGTATATTGGGCAACCGTTGCGGGCAAACGGGACTGTATTTATCAGAGATACGTATTCCGTCCCACGGTGCTGGAGCACGAGTTGGACTGAAGCTACAGTGCATATCGAGAGATTTGAGAGAGATGGTTATAGATCTTTAAAATTCCATTTACTCTTTGGGGCACGTACCGGTTTTGTTTGATCGGAGGCGTGGCATAGGGCACGCCCAAGAACACTTCCACTGATCGTAGATAGCGAAAGTTGTCCAACGGCAGAATCATTCCATGTAAGCGTCCATATCGGGTCTGCACGATCCGATGTCCCGGTCGCGCTCCGTTGTAGACATCATGCGTGGAGGCTGTAGCGTGATCAAACCAGCCAACTGATGCAACCGATAATAGCAGCATCAAGCGCAACAGGCGCAGCTGCAGCATTGACCGAGGGCAATTCCACATGATCTGCGAGTCTCGATTCTCCTTAACGAACTTGAATATCGTGGAATTGTGTTGTCAAAGCTTCCGTGTGGAATACACTATCTATAGTCGACTTCTTGACAGGCGTGGCCTTGATTGTCTGATTTCAAGTGCATAGTACTCATTTTTCAATATCTTTCTCGGAACTGAAATAGACAAAAATTTATTATATACATTTGCTTTTATTTTAAACTATATATAGTATATAATCTAGAGCTATATTAAAGACGGAACGAGTATAAACTTTTGCTGATTAGCATGGCTCCAAGGCCGAGCTGACTCTTATCGTGAAACATTTCTTTCGGCTTCAGTTATAATGCCCAGCTTAGATCGGTTGATCTCGCGCAGTTTGGCAATTTATTTCAAGTTATTAAAATGCTCGCTCGCAAATTTGTTATATTTCTCTTGATAAAACTAACATTCGGCTCTCCGTTTCCCTTTGAATGCGAAGAAACTGGGCAGCAAATAGACTTAAGCTTGGCCTGTGACGGTTTTCGTGATGTCCGTACGGCAGCGATGAGTCATTCATGGTGTGCAAAAATTTGAACTATTTCTATTAACAAATAAAACGGAACCACACTCAATCGTCAAGGACTTGCAAACAGATCAACTTTGTGCTATATGCTTCGCATTGCGGTAATTAAAATAAGTGTGAAGCATAATATGCAACTGATTTATACGACTGGGAACTTCAACATCGATGCTTACTTACTCTTGATATAGTAGCTTATGTAATAATGTGAGTCAATTTCATCTCAACTGATGGGACAATCTCAAGTTTTCGGTTTTTTTTTCAGGGGATATACTACAGACCCCATAGGTGGGGACATAGCTCTGATTAAATTGCAGCGAAGTAACAAAGACGGTCAGATGGACACAGTTGAATCAACTCAGTTCATAGCCTTGAACATGAATATATATGATATGGGGTCTGCCACTCCTTCTTCTGCCTGTTACATACAATCCTCATACCCAGATTTCCTATTTTCAATGGATTGAAGGAACAAAAATAATAAGAATTTTAAGCAATTTTAAAGAAAAATATAAAAAAAAAATTATATGGTTATATAAATTCTGTATTTAAATTAAAGTCAGCTCCGAGTGCACTGAAATTCACTACAAAATAAAAATAATATACAAGAGAAAATAATAACATTTGGTACTCTAGTGACTAATTCACTTTTATACACTGATATAGCGCTAAGTTATTTCAGAAATATAGCTTGTCCGATATTTCATGATCCAATTGGCGCAAATATTTATATTTATTATATATGTTTATTTTTTGGATGCCGGAAGTGTTGAATTTAAATAGCGACGGAACGGATGGAGCCAGTGAGCGCTGATTACCACGAGGCATCAAGGACGAACTTACTCTTATTGGATTAGATCAGTTGAGCTCCAGCAGTTGCACGAATTAGTTCATAAAATGTGCGTTCGTATATTTATTATGTTTCTCTTGATTAAACTAACATTTGGCTCTCCGACACGGAAGCTAAGCCGCCCATAAATTATATGATTGTACAGTTTTCTTGTAAGGTCAATACCAAACTAGTGCCCTCCAAGGCGAATAATTCCCAATTGCAATGCGATAATAAGGAATGGATAAATAAAGGCTTCGACGAGGATATAGAATGTAAAAGTAAGCGCGATTAAATAGGGAAAATAGGTACTTTAATTAACCGTTCTTTTATCTTAACGTAGAGCAATGCGATGGCACCCAAATATACTGCTACGACGTGCTAGTCCCGCACTGCTTCAATCCGATTGCAAAATTGGTTCGCGGAAATCGCCAAATCCATTGAATGTGTCATGTCAAGAGGATGGCACCTGGACTGACAGATCAGCGTTGAAGGACTATTGCACAGAGGTTTGCGGCAACATTGAGGCAAAATACACATTTACAAGTAAAAATGTTCTTAAGCTGTCGTCTAATTTGTCACCCTGGACGGTTCCGATTTACATATCGAACGGAAAAATCTTCAGTCGTCAATGCATTGGACCTCGAACAAAAAGAAACTTGGTGCTGACTGCTGCGCATTGCGTTTATTCGAAAGACTCTGGAAAGATTCGAGTGGGCAATGCGACATCGGTGCATACTATAATGGACAAAGACCATGGTCTAGATCGAGTAGATCGCATAACCATCTATGGGTAAGTCAATTTCAGCTCAACTTTTGGATTAATCTCATAATTCATTCCATTTTCAGGGGATATACTACAGACCCCTTAGGTGGGGACATAGCTCTGATTAAATTGCTGCGAAGTAACAAAGACTATGTTCCAAAAGTGATTTGTCTGCCTTGGATTTTTAATATTGATTAAAATCCAAGCATGCTGCTCAACATTACCGGTGATATCGTTTCATGGGAAACGTCTGCTAATCTAACCCTAGCAATTGTCGAGATAGTACCGCAAGACCCGCAGCCAATGTCGGATTTATTTACCGTAGAACTCAGAAGTTATTTTAGTATATGTGCGGGAGACAGTGGAAGTGGCTATATGGGTGGTTGCCATGGAAGATATTCCCAAAACAGTTCCTTCATCTGTTTGTACGGCGTGGTGAGCCATGCAAAACGTGGATTAGATACAGATAATTGCTCGAATAGTATTGAAGTCACAGACATTTACACCCACAGAGATTTTATTAATCAGTATATGGAACATTACGATGATTATTGGGCTGAAGAATAATTTCCTCAAACCAATTTGACCCTCATAATGTTATGTGCACTTCGTATTTTGCCAGTTTTTATATGTTTCTAATTTTCAGAAGTGCTATTGAATAAATCAAAATAATTGCAGCATACCTAAGCAGTTTCTTGGTGCGGGTTTGTTACAAATGTAAGCAATAGGCAGAGTGGTTCAGTTCAAAAAGCGACGTCTGTCCTTCTGTCCGTCTGCCATACGAGAAACCGCTACTTGACATAATATGTATAGTTGTTTTGACGTAACATTAAATTTTAAGGAAAGTTCCCAACGCTGCTCTAATCATTATTGAAGTTGAATTTCGACGATATAGACTGCAATGCGAAAAGTACTGTACTTTCTCGATACATTACGAAAAGTGCGGCCTCTGCCCAGCACGGACACCTTAGCCAGCACCAGCACAACTAAAGAGATATTTCAGCCGTGTGGCGGGCAACCTGCGAGCGAGGCAAACGATAGTGGAACAAAATGCAACGCGCCCGATTCAAGATGTGGCAGGCCAGGCTCAGACCTACTCTGGGAGAATCTGAAGCGTGTTTTACTCATGTGCAGAGGATACCGGGAGCCGCAGGCAGCCATAGCAAATTTTGAGAATAAGGAAGTCCTGGTAGATGTGCTGGAGGCGCAGCGATTTGTGCGTGACGTGTTTGCGGCCATGGATGTGCCGCATGAGGCAGCTGGCGAAATGGCTGATGCTCTAATTGCTGCCGACTACATGGGCCAGCGGAGCATGGGCATACATCAGCTGCCTGCCATTACGGTGGACCTGCACAACCTTACGATCGACCCACACATGCAGCCGAAGGTGCTGAGCGAGCGCGATGCGCTGGCCCTGGTGGACGGCCAGAATGCGCCGGGGCCGGTGGTGGCCAACTATTGTATGGACTTGGCCATGGATAAGGCTCGCAAGCAGGGCCTTGGCTACGTGGCTGCATGCCGCTCCAACTCAATTGGGCTGGAGTCGTGGTATGCCAGTCAGGCGCTGTCCCATCGCTTGATCGGCATCTGCATGTCGAATGGACCGGCCACCCTGGTGCCCAATGGCGGCGTTGAGCCTTTGCTGGGTCGAAACTCGATTGCCTGTGCGGCGGGCAGCACTCGCGAACAGCTCCTCATGGAAGTGGGCATGTCCGCCTATCCCATTGAGCAGCTGGAGCTGGAGTATTCCAATGGGTATTTGCACGACTTGCCCGACAATGTGGCGCTCAATTGCCATGGCATGCCCACAACCTGCATCGTCGAAGCGTTGCGTGCCCAGCGTCTGCGGGCCTTTACGCCCGAGCATAAGGGCTTTGGATTGGCCGCCATGGTGGATATACTCTGCGGGGTCATGACTGGGGCCCGATACGCATCGCAATTGCGACGACGCGGACTTTTTAGCTGGGAGAGGGAACAGGCTGACCTGGGCCAGGTCTACATAGCGATAGATCCCATGCGTTTTTGTGTCTCCTTCGAGGAAAGGCTCGCTGATTTCCATCAGCTGCTGCGCAGCGTCATACCGTGCGATCCTGCGCAACCTCCATGGCTGCCAGGCGACAAGGAATTGCAGCATATGCAAATGGTGGATGATCAAGGCGGGATACCATTGCTGCCCTGCACAGTCTCCATTCTGCAGGATCTAAGTGATCGTTTCAACATAGAGCCGCTCAGGATTAACAATATCTCGAAATAAATTTTATATGTGAGCAGATGGCTATAGAAGTAATATCAAATCATTTCACTAAAGATTAAATTTCTCCGTATAGTACGAAATTCAAAATGATTTAGAATTACACACTCCCTCTACATATATTTAGAGTGAAATAAATCATTTCAATAGAATATATTTTAATTGTTCTCAGAATCATCTTTCCAGTAACTTTTGGAATATACATATATAGGATATGCATATATAACTTGAAGGCAATTCTTGAAACAATTTATCACTGTCTTGGTCTGCCCCAAAAAAGAATCAATAGTATAGTAAATCTATAGACGATAGACTTTAAATGTTAATATTTATTTATTAACTTTTCTGCTGTAATACTGTAGGAGATTTAAAATTTGCTTATGCGCTGTACATTTTAATAGGGGGTTGTCTATCCTAGTATATGTTCCAAATTTAGTCATTAGCCTATCAAAGAATAAATTTGTCTCTATTATTTATTTAATATGTAATAATTATTATTTATTTAATATATAATAAAATTAATATTCTAACTAAGTATATGTTAAAATTAATATTGTAACAAATGAAATTATTAAGTGGTTATTAAGAAGTATTAATTATTATTAATACTTGTACTTTTAATATATCTGAATATTTAGCAAGTCCAAGACAATCGTCCTTATTCCTTTCATTGCTTATTTTTAAACGTTTTGCATGTTAAGAAAGCGACAGAAAAAATACGGATTACGGTAATTTACGCAAAATGGGAAGTCGACTCGAATTTTAGCGAGGGAAGCAGAGCACCTGCCGTTATTAATATTGCTGTTGTAATATAAAACAAATTCGCAGAAGGCCTAATCAATAAAATGAAAAAGAAAAAGTGGAACATAAAGAACATAATACATGAATAATTTGAAATCGACGCAAGCACAGCTCATTCGCCTCATCAGATGACGCGGCGTATGAGGGATAAGCCTAAGCGTGTGTTTTGGAATTCTTGTAAATTATGGCACCTTCCCTTTGACAGCTTGTATCATGCGCGTCATCGATAGTCCCCAAATTACTGCTGCTTGGCGCTGCCTCACCTGGGCATCGGATTCGCCGCATTTACCGCCACCCACTGATGCTGTGCACGTGACTGGGCCGTCTGGCAGGACGGCGCTTGGACTACTCATATTGCTGCTATTACTGTCGTCGTTGTTGTTGTCGCTGTCTAGATTTACGGCATTATAATCGCTTATTATTTGTGGCAATGACAAGTGAAAGTCGAGACGAGTCTCGGCAGCACAATATTGGCGCCTAGGCACACACTTTTAACTAATTTATCATCCTTGAATTGATTTTTGGTCCATCGACAGTGTGGCATGTAAGAAAACAGTTGATTGATATGGTCAAATGATGATTATTGCAGTACCAATAAATGTACTTCCCCCTCACAGCAAAGAGCTGCCAAAAGTCGACAGCCTCATAGGCTTTCTATCAAGCTTTTGGGTTGATGAAAGTACACAAATATACCAAAATTATACCAAATTTAATACACTGTTTAATTAATGTTTGTTAAAAATAAAATACTAAACAAAAACTAAAATAGATGAAAAAAAGATATAATTATTTGTTGGAATTATAATAATAACTAGAATTATAACTTAACCGTAAAATAAGAATTTAATTGCAGCTATAATATTGTTAATCCATTTGAAAAAAAAGTTTTAATTATTTGTTAAAATTACAATAATAATTTCGTGAATTTTATAATTTTACCGTAAAATCAGAATTTGACAGTTGTTGTAATATTTTCATTATATAATATTTCATTATATAATATTTTCATTACAATCAATTGGTCAAACGACATTTTTCAAATTCATTTTATTTAAATAGATTTTTGCAGTTATTTTTAATTTACAAAGCCTATTTGATATAAAAGGGCAAAATAATAATCACGAAATGAGTCGACTGTTATAAACAATCCTACATTCTCATTTTTCAATCTTTTCTGCTCTTTTAGAAAGATATAAATTTTTTAATATTTATATTTAAGTCGAAATGTTTGGCATTAGGAAACAAAACAATGCTAATAAAGTTCATACTTTTATTACCGAATTCGAACAAGGAAACAGTTAGGAGCTTATGTTTATAGCCATAAACGAATGGCCTTGAAATTACTGTTAACATGAATCGCATTTCTGATTCACAAAGCTCTGGTAAATGTTTTTGACAATGGTTTGCATTTCAATGAAAATTTTAGGTTCATTTCGCTTTGTGCTTTGTGTTCCGTCTGCTTGATTTACCTTGTGTTAATGCTTCCTCCAGGCGAACGCATATGAAAGGATCTGGCTTCTGGCCCTGATGGCCATTGCTGACGCCAGTGCTTTTCTTTTATGGCAGCTGTCAGACGACGTTGTTGTTGCTCTTGTTGCTCTTGTTGCTGCCTTTCGATAATAGTCCACAGATCTAAGGCTGGTTGTTGTTCTTGATTTTATCAATGTCCGGTCGCAGCGATAACAATCCTTTTATTTCAAGTCGTATCGCGTATCCTTATTTATATTATTTTTATTTTTTCTTGTGCTTCAGTTATTATTATCATTCAGACAAATATTCGCACTTTTGCACACAAACACACACACACGTGCAAACATATTTGAGCAACGTTTTGTATTATGAAACCGTTTTCAAATTTTTCCGAAATTATCTTTTATTGCGTTGCATTTTCTTATGGATTTTTATTGTGATTATTATATTCTCTGAAGTTAATTTAAAAATAAATAAATATTTAACATTGTATTGCAAACAATTTTGGAAATAAAAAAAAATAAAAATAAACAAAAAACAATAAAAATAAATATAAACAAAATTTCTCGACTCTATAAAATTCTGAACCCACTTTCAGAATTGTTTAAAACGCACAATAAAATATTAATAATCAATAAAGTTACAATATTTTCAATTTTCAATCAGGTAGTGAATATCCTTAGAAGTCAACTATAAAACAATCTGTAGCCATGTGCGCGTTCTTGGCCAACACGTGCTTTGGCTGTTGCTCCGTTCGCGTTTCGGGTTGGTTGCCTTTGGCGTGCTGAGTTGTTGTCTGGGCAGCGATTAAAGTTGCATGCGAGGCACAGGGAAGCAGCACACTCGATGTGGCATGCAATTGCTTTAATTAAATGCAAACGTCAATGACCGGAAAGTGGGCTGGCCGAGTGTGTGTAAAGTGCTCAGGCGGGGGTGGACAATGCCATTGCCTGCATACTTTTAGACGCCAGCGCGAAGACGGCGCGAGCCAGCAGCAGGCGGATGCTGTGGTGACGCGGCTTTGTTACGAAAAAGCTAACGGTAACGGCAAAAGAAACGGTAATGGTAACGGTACCGGCAGTCAGACGCGCCTCAAAGCATGAAGAACTTTTTGGCCATTTGTTTGAACGCTTTAGTCGCTCGAGCAGCTGGCCTTATTTTTTTCTTTTCTTTTCCATTCGCTAGTATTAGCCGCCTTGTGCCCATAAACTACACACAGGCACAGATATACGTACACACACAAACACACACACAGAGAGAGTAATACTCATACAAAGATACTGGCCTCATGCACGGGGGCTCAGTTGTGACCACGACGCCCGAATGAATTCCAACGACTGAAGTTGGATTCTTGAGCCAACGGCTTCAGAGTCGACTGTCGAACGGAAGCCACAGCAGCAGCAGCAGCTGGTATGTGGGTTAAGTTTCAGAGAAATTGAGAGCGAGAGTAATACGGAAGCCGAGCAGAAGAGCGCACGCACACGAATGGAAGTGGAACGCATTCAGCGCAGCGAGCTTTCGCTCTTACGCTCCACTCGGTAATCGTTCAACAGCTGTTCACCATCGTTTCCATTTGTTCGCCTCTTTGGCTTTGCGACCTTCTCTCAGCAATTTCCTTGCCTCGCCTACCGATTGCGAGAAATCAGCCGTTGGGGCAGGTAATGGTTGACGACCCTCACTTGCGTTGCTTTGTGTGCATTAAAGCATTTTTTCTGATTAATTTGACAAATCAAGTTTACAGTATGGGGATTGCGAATAGCGGGATAAATCTGACAAAATTCTATATTATGTAATGACAAAAATGTTAAATGATGACGAACTTCCAGGGATAGCTGTAGGAAATTTGAGCTTTAAATATTAAAATGTTAGACAATGTTTGTAATATTACATTTATAAGTTACTTAGGTTATATTAAGCAATATTTATGTTATATATATATTTATGATCTGCTTTATTTCTTTCCTTCAGGCTGAATTTTGATGAATGTTTGAAATGTTAACGAATCGTATATCAATATAATACACGCTTTGGTGCATATTATGCCAGAGCACGAATAGCAATCCACTTAACCACTTTAAGACAAATTTCTATGGACATGTAAGTCCTTTGGGCGCCACCTTGCCTCGGAGTAGCCAGCACTCCTGGTCAGTCAACAGCTTAAATCAATGGCAACGAATCGAGTATTGCGGGCCAAGCGTGCGTGTAATTTGACCACATTCTCTGCTCTGGCATTTTGAAGTCCTGTCAGATAGCGGACAGACAAAAAGTTCAAGGAAAATCACTGTGCGGGCTGCCAAGGACAGCACATAATTGAAAGCCAAACATAAAAAGAAGGAAAGCGAACCGAAAGAAAAGAGCAAAGTAAAAAAATAAAAATAAAAGAATAAATAAGTACGAAAAGAAAAGATAATCGCATCGCATATATCAATGCGACTATTTGGTATGATAAATTAACGATAAATAAATATACGAAGACGCTGGCAGCGTTTGTAAAGGAGAAAAGCATTTGCACTTACTTTACAATTATTACACATACGTCATGTAGTCCACAATGCGTATATACTTTTGGCTTATAAGCGGACCCAAAACTCAGCATATATTAATGGGTGTGTGGTAAGATGCTTCGGTAGACAGATTAAGACCCTGACTAAAACGCAAACATAATTAAAAAGTTTTTCTTTTTTGTTCAATTTTGGATGAGAAAAGCCAAAGACCATCCGGCCTTCTTAAGCCCAGAAATGCTGCGGCAGCCACATACGAAAAGGCACGAAAAGCCACTTTTGATGACGCATATAGCATACAGTATACATAGTCATATATAACTGTGCGTGTGTGCGTGTGTTTCTTTAATTTATGGACACATCAGAGCCGGGGATTAAAACCACGAATTGACAAAGTCCCTCAAGCTTTTGTGTTCAAGAAGTCCAAGTTAAGACGGGACTCGCATTTTCTATACTTTCCTATACTATTCGGAATGTTTATTCGTGTCAAAGGAATAAAATATAATTACTTATGTGTACTATGCTATCCTATGTGTGCCGATGCAAATTAATTCTTCTAATTAAATAAGTCGTATCTTAATTGCTTAATTCGTTATGCTAAGGAAAAAATTGTAAATGTCTTAAAATATCTCTGTTGTACATTATATTTATTTATTTATTTTTTTTTCTTGCGAGTATTTATTAACGTAATGAATTTGGGTTAATCTTATATAAGTTAAGCGCACCCACACTAGAGTACTAGTGATTGGGGACGCTGTGTTGGGTTCTTGTGAATATATAACAACTTGGTGTTCGATGAAATAATATATTTGATACAATTTGGAACAATAGGTCTGAACTGTGTCTGGTCCGAATATAAACTGAACTAAATCTGTTCAACTGGTGAGGTTCTCCCCTTGAATGTCTGACGGAACTCTCCAGGCTCCTTAGATTGTCGAAAGTCTTAACTCTTCCCCATCTAAATATCTGCGTCCCGCAGATCAGGGTGCATATGTCCATTGTAACGATATTCATCCAATATTAATTGTCCAATATAATGATAATTATCCAATATAAATTGTCCAATATAATGATTTATCCAATACGATATCCATCCAATATAAATTGTCCAATATAATGATAATTATCCAATATAAATTTATTATCCAGAGTCCATAAATTAGCATAAAGAGGGCCATCGATATCCACCTTCAAGTTAATTCAAAGCATTCATAGTTCCATACATTTAGTATTCATTTGTTGTTATGACAAACATCCAACATTGTAAGCGCATTTATTTCATTCCGTCTGGCATCTCGGAAATCCCTATTGCCATGAATGATCGAAACTAGGAGGGATATACCACGTGTAAAATGCTGTGGATGCTATGGGTGCTAAAGAAGTTAAGGAAGAATATAATTAAATGTGCATTTTCCTTTTTTTCCTATTTTCTTAAATCTGATTTATGAAGAATTTTTCCAGTTTTTGTTTTGTTGATAATCATTAATTCCACGAGACATAGTCCCGTTTAGTCCCCTTATGAAAACATCTAAAGCTCTATCTCTATATGATTCTATTAATGCGGACAATACTACGACTCATTGTTCGCTTGTTTAAGGCCACAGTCCGGCAATGACGAAATTTCATTTAATTCAAGCTCCGAACGTGGACGGGCCAGTGAGATTTGTTGTTCTTCTATTAATAAAGACTTATTAGTATCCTTATTTTCCAATTTATCCACTTTATTATTCAATTGCTTCAATTCTCCTTTTAGACTTGAAAATTGATCGGCTAACACCGTTATTGCCGCGCTTAACCCTTGCAATGTTTCATTTATATTTTCCATACTGCCTACGAATTTAAATTATTTATTAGCAAATTAATCTCACTGTAAATGTTATTTTAAACAAGAGCATTTTTTTATGACTTACTCACCCGTTACCTGGTATTTTTTATTCTATTTATTTATATAATTTTTATTATTATTATTATTACCTTTTTTAGTAAGATTTCTTTTTAGGTTTTTTTTATTTTTTCGTAAATTTTTCAAAAAATTTTTTTACTTACGGCTTGAGCTCGGTGCACAAGTGAACTAAATAATTTTAATGTCGGAAAACTTACTTACTATTCGACTCGATGCAAGGCCTACTATGTTATCAATTTAATTTTTCGACTTAATTTTTCTACACTAAATCAGTTTTTTCATTGTTTCCAAGTTACTGCTATTTTCCGTTTCCAATTGAGATAAGAAAATCATATTAATCGTCTTGCGGAATTCCTTGCTGTGGAGATAAAACGTTAGTAATGTTCTAACAGTCTTTGTAAACACAATTTTTTTAACACATTTTTTTAAATTGTTGATGTGAATATTTATATTTTGTGAATATATTTCTTTAATATATTATTTCATCGAATTACCAATTGTATTATTACGTGTGTTATTGTTTTGTCTGTTGTAAAATTATTTGAATTATCAATTTCTAAGTATCTTTATATGGCACTGTCTCATTTTCTGGTTTCTCTCTTGCATTTATTGCATTTGCATTTATTTATTTAAATAATTCATATTTGTATATTTGCATATTTATGCTTTGTTTGTTGAGACAGGCCGCCTTTTAATTTTGTTATATTTTCAGTGCTTTAAACTTAACTCCTTTTAATTTATACGGAAACCCATCATTCAACACAGGTGGAAATTGTGACGTTTATTTTTTATCATATTTGTCTTACGGCAAGGATTTGAACCTCGATACGAGAATCAATCTGTACCACCATTTAGCCTGCAAAATTGTGACGTTTATTTTTTTATCATATTTGTCTTACGGCAAGGATTTGAACCTCGATACGAGAATCAATCTGTACCACCATTTAGCCTGCAAATTTCTTGTATTTCGTTTTAAGGATCGTCTCTACAAGGATTTTGCTACGATTTCTTTTATGTTATAAAATTGTCTAGCTCTTGCTAGAAATTATGTTATTTATTTTATTTTAATGTTATGGCATGGTGTTTCACCCATTACTTTGCAAATCACAGAAGTACCACTTAATTTTGCCAACAATTGTCCAATCCAGCTTTTAGATTTGAAACAATTTATTTGTACTTGCTTTTTTATAAGTTATTGTTATATTTTGTTATTGACACGTCACGTCACCATTTTCCTTTTGTGAAGAATGTGGGTCCCTGCTCGGGCGCCAGTTAAGCGCACCCACACTAGAGTACTAGTGATTGGGGACGCTGTGTTGGGTTCTTGTGAATATATAACAACTTGGTGTTCGATGAAATAATATATTTGATACAATTTGGAACAATAGGTCTGAACTGTGTCTGGTCCGAATATAAACTGAACTAAATCTGTTCAACTGGTGAGGTTCTCCCCTTGAATGTCTGACGGAACTCTCCAGGCTCCTTAGATTGTCGAAAGTCTTAACTTATATTATATAGAGATTTTGACTAAAGCAATAATCAAAAAGAATTTTTGTGATAAAAGGTTCTCATAATTGTTCGTATTATGTTAATAGAATTTTAGTACACTCTGATTTTGTGAATGGTATTTTACAATAATTTAAGAGCTGAGGCTTGTACATAAGCCTTTTTTGCTATACACTGAATGAATACTCTATACTTTATTGATAAGTGTTGTGCTTTACATTAATATATTTTTTTTTAGTTGGCTCCAGTATTCCAAAACATTATATTATTATTGTAAGTAAATGTTTTGTTTTTGTTTTTGTTTTTTTTTTTTTTTTTTTTTTTTTTTTTTTTTTTTTTTTTGAATATAAATAATACTATTCAACATATATGTATTTCCTTATCATAGAAACTCTATAGTTGTTTCCTTTTGCTTTTTTGGGGTTTGTGTTTTGCTAGCCATTGCTTGAAGGTCACCCGTAAATAGAATAATGATTATGATAAATGTTTTGTGGCACATCTAGGCAGCGCAGAGCGTAAGCTGTGGGGCCCACTCAAACAGTTGATTTATGTGGCAAAAATTTGTTACCGCGACAGCCGAGAGCGGGACTGAAATCAGTGCTGGGAAAATCAGAGCGCGAATTTAACAACCAAACGGGTTTGTTACAAATTAAATTTTTAATTAATGCCATTAATAAGAGATGGGCCACGCGAGGGGCGACAGAGCAGCAGCAGCAGGAGCAGGAGCAGGAGCGGGAGCAGGAGCACTCTGTGCACTGTGAAAGAGGGCGGCCACAAAATGTCGACATGGAAAATTTAACGCGCAATTGAAGTTTACAGCCGCAAATTGTTTGCTGGCCTACAGCGATTTTTGGCTCCGAGGCAGCCGGGCCGCAATGCGAAACTTTGCAATTTGCTATAAATTGAAAAGCGCCAGAAAGCAGACAGACAATGCGCGCTTAATGCACAGCCACAGACTCAAATCACGAGCAGCACTTTAATTGTTCATTATGCCAATACAATTTGCTTGCAGCTTCATAAAAGATTCAACTCGAAGAATTTGCCATGGCTTGCACAGTCTGAGGCAGCAGGCAAAGATGCCAAGGCTATCAGCCAGAATGGATCAGACGTGAATTTCGTTGCCACAAAAAAAAAAAAAATAAATAAATAAATAAAATAATAATAAAAAAAAATAATTAGGAGAGCGTGTCACATATTGAGAAGGGAGACTTTCCTCTTTTTATTATATGAAAAGTGAAATTTAGTAATTGGCTTGTCAAGCGGCACAAGGGCTTGAGACTGTGCTAAGGGAAACTTTAGTGAACACATAGTTCATTTTTTACGCCATTATTTGTTTGCATAGTCAACAGTATTGAAATATTTACCTTGCTGCAGTTGGTGGTCTTAAAAAATAAATTCAAGCACAGCTGGAATTCGATTCAGAATTTATTGTGGCCAGCGTATATATTTACAATAACTGTGGCACTGTAAAATATCAATTTTATCGTTGTATGCAAATGATATAAATTGTTCATAAAAAGTCTTTAAAGTCTTGTTTGATTGCCATCATATGAAAAATAAAAAATAATAAATAAATTATGCGAAAAATGGCAACACACATACAAATTTAATGTACATGTATTTTATGTACAAATAAGTCGAATTGTTGTTCAACTTAAAATAACTTTGTCCGAAAAAGTATTGGCATAACTAAAATGTTTTGTAAATTCAGATCTTAGAAAAAAAGTAATTGAATTTACAGAATTTATATGGCATGATAATATACACAAATTTATCGACAATCATTTCCCAACTATTAAAATATGCAATAAATCAATATGGAAATAAAAATTATGATTTACGAGATGACAGCAGAGACCGCTAACAGTTTCAGCCCCCCAGCGAGGCGATAATGCGTCCATTTCGCCAGAGTCAGAGTCGTAGCCAGAGCCAGAGCCACATACATATATGCATAAATAAATAAATATAGATGTATGTAAGCACACAAATGTAGTATATACTTACGTCGGTCCGCATCGACATACCGACATGTGTAATATTTATAGCAGTAGCAAATGCGAAATGTTGCGTATGCAAATGGAGCCAAGTGGAAGGCGACAAGCACTGACTGAGGGAGCTCGCAATAGGCAATAGAACATGCGAGGAATTGTGACCGAATAGCGCTACGAATTCTGGGCTCAATATTGGCTGGTGTTTCCGCTGGGGCATTTGCTTATTGGCGCACTTTGCTTCTTTTACGGCTGCACGAATTTTTGAGCAGCTTCACTTCCGGTTATAGCATCCGGAAATTGCAACTGAAGTGCACACACGCACACACTAGCGCACACTCACACTAGCGAACTAACACAATGATGTGGCGGCATATGTATGGCATTTGTATGCAAATTTCAGGCGAATGATTTTCATATGCTTATATGTGTATGTATGTACTGGGGGCACCACGGTGCGTATGCGTGTGCTCTATGCCTGCCTGCTATGCGCTGCCAAAGGCGTTTTCAGTCTATTTCAGTTATTCGCTTGCATTGCCAACCTTCGTGCCTGTTCCTATGCAAGTCTATGGCCTCCCGGACCCAGTTCACAGGCGAACATCCTGCTTGAGGAACATATAAAAAAAAATGGCAAATTTGTGGCTGTGGTTGAGTGATTTCTGGTTGCGGCCAAGTAGATTCAGTTTGCGCCAGTATGACCAAAAAAAAAAAAAAAAAAAAATACACACACACACATTTGCATATTTTGTGCTGAGAGTCCGAGAATCTCAAATATCCGCTGAATTTCCATGAAATCTGAATGCTTCAGCCAGATGAGCCCGACTAGGAAATAGCACTACTACATTTGCTCTCTGTTAGACTATAAATAGTATTGAATGCTAGTGCTTGAAATCCTTTAAATTGTTTTACTTAAAGTTGGCTTTCTATCAAGAAGCGGAGACATCCTCACAGACCAGCAGTATACAATATTGCGCTAAATGCTCAGCGGTATGCTTACAGGAATTGACATAATTTAGAATATGGAAGAGCAGCCGGAGCAGAGGCTGTTGATGTCGAGCATGGGCTGAGAAATACGGGGACCAGTCTGAATGGGGCTAATAAATGTCCTCCGACTGCCGCAAGAACAAAGCGGAACGGAAAAAAAGTAAATGGCAACAAAAGTAATTGTGAATGAGGCGTGGTGCGTAACGCCGAGTCGCGGCCAAGAAGAAAACGCCGATGTCGTTGCGTCGTCAGCATAAAAGTTTTATTAAATGATTAAGCCAAAGCGGCCGCCCGAAAGTAGGCAGCGATATTTGTCAAAATTTGCTTGCACACACACACAGACACACACCCACACACAGATGTGAGGGACTTTTGAATTTGTGATTTCTGTCGCTGGCCGTCGGTCGTCGTTCCATGCCATAGCTTATTAAATTTAACACTGCCTTCACTTTCATTTGCGTCCCGACGAGGCGAAGCGAGGCCAGGCGAGTCCAGGCGACACTCATGAATTATTCAGTGCGTAGTCCTTGATCCTTGCAATTTCTTTTGTCTTTGCGGCATCGCCTGGCCGTCAACAGTTGCCTCATTTACCCCCCAGCCACATCTCCTTCTTTATATTCTTGTTATGGCTGCTCTTAATTTTCATGTAAAAAATGCACTGCAATTTATTTGAATGGGCTTTTTGTTAAAACAAAAAATATTTCCCTTCTCTGCTTGGCTGAGTTCGGTGCTCGAAGTTTTTTCTGAGCTCATAATCTTTGCATAACTTACCTGTCTCTGCCGTGTTTCGGCCGAACCTCTGTGTCCCTTAAATTGCATTCAAATGCTGCGGAACGCTCCTGCATATATGCATAAGCAATGGCTGTGTCCTTTGCGCGTCCTCGCTCGCTCGCCGCGTGCTCGGCCAAAGTTTAATTACCTTGAAAGCTTTGCATTTTCCGATGTCACATAAACTTAATTGTAATTTTATTTTGTGTTTTTTTCCTTATTTTTACATCTTAACTTGGACATCTCAAGTTATTATATAGACTTGATTGAACGTAATTAACTTTTAAGTCGTCTAATTATACGCAATTGGCAATAAACTAAGTAATCTCAAGGCACGTAAAAGCTGTTTAAATATTATTATCGATTTATTTATTATTAAATAATTTTAATTTGCATTTAAATTAAGTATTGATGCAATGCACTGCATATTAA